GGGGGGCTGAGACCCCCATTGCTGTGGGGTTTGGGGACCCCCATTGCTGTGGGGCTGGGGCTCAGTGGGGCTGGGAGGGGGTCCAGAGGTGGCCTGAGCCCCCTATTTCTATGGGGCTGGGTCTCTATGGGGCTGGGGGACGCCCCTGAGGTGCCCGGAGCCCCCCATTGCCGTGGGGCTGGGGGTAACCCCGTTTCTATGGGGCTGGGGGTGCCTCCTTCAGCCCTGGGGCTCCCCCTCCCTCCCTGTCTGGGTGGGGCAAGGGAGGGGGCGTGGCCTCGCTTAGCCCCGCCCACACATACCTTTTACAGTGAGAGGGGCGTGGCTAAATGTGGCCCCACCCCCAAACAGGGAGCCCTGTGTCAGGGAGTGGAGTCGGTGGGGGGGCGTGGACTGAGGTTGGGCGTGGTCTAGGGTGGCCACGCCTCCAGCTGGGAGCATAGGGGGCGTGGCTTAGCGTGGCCCCGCCCCCTGGTCTTAGACTGATGCCCAAGGGAGGGGGGTAGAGCCTTGGGGGGCGTGTCCAGCGGGATGGGCGTGGTCTAGCATAGCCACGCCCCCTTCTTGATCAAGGGGCGTGGCCTAGAGTGGCTCCACCTCCTTCGGGACACTGGGGGCGTGGCCTAGCGTGGCTCTACCCCCTTTCCTTGCCTTGTACTTGGGAAGTGTGTGTCCAAGGGAGGGGGGGGAGCCCAAAGGAGGGGGGTGGAGCCTTGTGGGGCGTGTCCAGATGGATGGGCGTGGTCTAACATAGCCCCACCCCCTTTTGAACCGTAGGGGTGTGGCCTAGAGTGGCTCCACCCCCTTTTCTTACTTTAGACTGGGGAAGTGAGTGCCTAAGGGACGGCAGTGGAGCCCAAGGGAGGGGGGTGGAGCCTTGGGGGGCGTGTCCGGTGGGGTGGGCGTGGTCTAACGTAACCCCACCCCCTTCTGGAGCTAGGGGGCGTGGCCTAGTATGGCTCCACCCCCTTTTCTTCTTTAGACTGGGGAATTGGGTGCCCAAGGGAGGGGGATGGAGCCTCGGGGGGCGTGTCCGGCGGGATGGGCGTGGTCTGGAGTGGCTCCTCCCCCTTCTAGACCCTGGGGGCGTGGCCTGGCGTGGCTCCGCCCCCTTATATTAGCTCAAACGGGGGAAGTGGGTTCCCAAGTGAGGGGGGTGGAGCCTTGGGGGGCGTGTCCAGCGGGGAGGGCGTGGTCTATGCATGACCACGCCCCCTCTTGGACCATGGGGCGTGGCCTAGGATGGCTCCACCCCCTTTTCTTGCCTTAGACTGGGGAAGTGGGAGCCCAAGGGAGGGGGGTGGAGCCTTGGGGGGCGTGTCCACCTGGATGGGCGTGGCTTTGCGTGACTACACCCCCTTCTTATCCCTATGGGCGTGGTCTGTCGTGGCTCCACCCCCTTTCAAACCCCGGGGGCGTGGCCTAGCGTGGCTCCACCCCCTTTTCTTGCCTTAGACTGGGGAATTGGGTGCCCAAGGGAGGGGGGTGGAGCCCAAGGGAGGGGGGTGGAGCCTTGGGGGGCGTGTCCGGCGGGATGGGCGTGGTCTAGCGTGGCTCCACCCTCTTGTGGACCTAGGGGGCGTGGTCTGGAGTGGCTCCACCCCCTTTTCTTGCCTTATCCTTGGGAAGTGTGTGCCCAAGGGAGGGGGGTGAAACCCAATGGAGGGAGATGGAGCCCAAGGGAGGGGGGTGGAAGCTCGGGGGGCGTGTCCAGCGGGATAGGCGTGGTCTAGTGTGACCACACCCCTTTCTGGACCTAGGGGGCGTGGCCTAGCGTGGCTCCACCCCCTTTCCTTGCCTTATAATTGGGAAGTATGTGCCCAAGGGAGGGGGGGGAAGCCCAATGGAGGGGGGTGGAGCCTCGGGGGGCGTTTCCGGCGGGATGGGCGTGGTCTGGAGTGGCTCCACCCTCTTCTAGACCCTGGGGGCGTGGCCTAGCGTGGCTCCACCCCCTTTCCTTGCCTTGTACTTGGGAAGTGTGTGTCCAAGGGAGGGGGGGGAGCCCAAAGGAGGGGGGTGGAGCCTTGTGGGGCGTGTCCAGATGGATGGGCGTGGTCTAACATAGCCCCACCCCCTTTTGAACCGTAGGGGTGTGGCCTAGAGTGGCTCCACCCCCTTTTCTTGCCTTAGACTGGGGAAGTGAGTGCCTAAGGGACGGCAGTGGAGCCCAAGGGAGGGGGGTGGAGCCTTGGGGGGCGTGTCCGGTGGGGTGGGCGTGGTCTAACGTAACCCCACCCCCTTCTGGAGCTAGGGGGCGTGGCCTAGCATGGCTCCACCCCCTTTCTTTGCCTTAGACTGGGGAAGTGGGTGCCCAAGGGAGGGGGGGGAGCCTTGGGGGGGGTGTCCAGTGGGGTGGGCGTGGTCTAGAGAGGCTCCACCCCCTTCTATAACCTGGGGGCGTGGCCTAGACTGACTCCAGCCCCTTTTATTAGCTCAAACTGGGGAAGTGAGTGCCTAAGGGAGGAGGGGGGAGCCCAAGGGAGGGGGGTGGAGCCTTGGGGGGCGTGTCCATTGGTGTGGGCGTGTCTTAGCGTGACCACACCCCCTTCTGAACCCTTAGGGCGTGGCCTAGCGTGGCTCCACCCCCTTTCCTTGCCTTAGACTGGGGAAGTGGGTGCCCAAGGGAGGGGGGTGGAACCCAAGGGAGTGGGGCGGAACCTCATGGGGCGTGTCCAGCGGTTTGGGCGTGGCCTAACCTAGCCCCGCCCCCCTTCCCCCCCCCTTAGTTAGCGGAGCAGTCGCTGATGAAGAGCGCCATCAAGACGTCGGAGGAGTCGTGGATCGAGCAGCAGATGCTGGAGGACAAGAAGCGGGCGACCGACTGGGAGGCCACCAACGAGGCCATCGAGGAGCAGGTGGCCCGCGAGTCCTACCTCCAGTGGCTGCGTGACCAGGAGAAGCAGGCCCGACAGGTTTTTTGGGGGGGTCCTACCCCCCCTTTTTGTCCCCCCCACCCATATATCCCAACCTTGGGGTGTGTTTTGGGGGGTAAACCCCATTTTTTGTGTCCCCCCTTTCCAGCCCAGGAAGGCCAGCGCCACGTGCAGCTCGGCCACGGCGGCGGCGGCCAGCGGGTTGGAGGAATGGAGCG